ATATATTGTTTATCTCCGATGCATTTCTCGCGTAGAGATCTCTATCAAGAATAAAAGAAAAGAGAAAAGAAAAATATATATTGATAGGTCAAATTTTCATTTCTTTTTTCAAGTCCTCTCAAAAATTGATTTTTTTTTCGTGATCAAAAAAAGATAAAAAATACTTTTTATATTTTTTAGTAAAGCGCAGGTTACTATGCTAGACTCGTACAAAATTATGCTTAGATGACCGAAGACTCGACGTTCACGGTACGAGCGCTTGCGTGAAGCTCGAAAATGAGGGGGAGAACGGGGGGAAGCAAAGTGGGTGGTGGTCTGGGGGTTGAACGGGGAGAAAGGGGGAAGGGGGGGTCGGAGCTGTGAAAGCGAGGGCGCCTGCAGTGACTAGCCTCCATCGATTTACCGTGCGACGCCATCTTGCCACCCTACGCCACGGGGGTTGACCACCCCTCTGCCACCCCCTTGTCCCCCTCGCCGCCGCCGCCCGTCGGGGTCACCCCCCTCGAGGCAGAGGCAGACATTTTGAAAAATGATTCCGAAAGTCATCGTGGCTCGCACTGGCGTTTTTTAGCGAGCTCGACCCGGCCCGCCCGACATTCCTCTCTCTTTTCCGCGCTCGGTCTTTCGCACTCGAAGGGCAAGGGAAGAAAAAGCGGACGCGCGACAAAAAGAGGGAAAACTATCGCGGCAAAAGACGCGGAAATAAATGAGCGCGTTCTCGTTGGAATCTGCGTGTCCTGGTTATTAAGCCTTAAGTGATGAGATTTTCGCGACACGCGCGCTAGCCATAACAAAACGCACCAACGTTTTTATCACATTCAGTCGTTTTCTCGCAAATAACAGGATTAATCATCGCCGCGTTTATATCTAAAATTATTATTATTAATTGAAATATATTTACGCAAGAACGCAATACATCTTTAATTTTATCTTTTATTTATTAAAAACATCAAAAATTCGTAATTTTAAGATACAATCGCAGTGTATAAAAATAACTAAAATAGTTTTAAATTCTATACCTATTTGTATGTATGTGATTTCTTGCTGAAATATCGAACTGTCAGGGGAAACGTGTTATTTTGTTCTACTTTAATCTGTAACGATATCGTCGTTGCGTCGAGAATTTATGATTACCGCTATATAGCGCTGTGTCGAGATATCTGCAATTATGCACATGAGTAGTTCTATTTGTGTTTAAATATTAAACAGTTGACTTTCTGGAATTACTTATTTTCACTGAAGCTTTAATTTCCTTAATTTGCAGCTTCGATATTATGCAGAATGATTCAAAATTTGTATCTATAAAATGTAATAGTAACATCATCTGCATAAATATTGATATCGAAAAAAATTAAATTGAATCTTTCAGAAAATAATTTTCGAATAAATATTACTTTTCCTACCAGTAATTTAACGATTAGATTAGACAGAGCATTTAAGAATATCTCAACAATTTACGGAAAAGACGTAATATTTTAAATGGACGGTTGCAGCCTGTGGCTGGACATTCTGAATCAAAAGAGGCGAAAGACAAAGGTCGACAGGAGAGAAAGATTTCAATCGCGTCTACCAATCGTGGAATAAACAATACGGGCTTTCGAGAATGCACAGTGCGGTCGATCGGCTCTCGATTAATCAGAAAAAAATTCTTGTTTTCGCAAAAAAGGATGGCTATTCGAGGTGATGGCGTAGAAACGAGGGAATCTAAAGTCTTGTGTAGAAAGAAAAGAAAGATGCAATGTGTAGAAACAAAAAAATATATAAATATATAAAATATAAATATAATTAAATCTTTTCCAATACAAAATCAATTATCATATAAATAATTTATCAAATGATATTTATTTGCAGCACCGTTATTATTATAATAGCGATCCAATAAAAACGATGATATAAGGTTTGGCGTACTTTTTTAAATAACGTTCTATTTATATTCCACTCGTGTGGACTGCGATCTGCATTGCAACAAAAGTATGACAAATAGAATTCGTAATACATACTTTTTTTAATTTATCATGACTATGCAACATAAAAATGATAAGAATATGTATATGCAGAATAAATAAGAATGAAAAAAGAAACAAAATGTTTCAGTGAACTTCATAAATGATAAAGGATAAGCATTCAATACTAATGTGATAAAGAGCAAAAAAGATAAAAGAAGTGATGCAAATAAATAATATAAAATAAGTTTCATCTGGAAACAACTCTCAATTCATGCAGAGGTTATCACAAAAACAGGCTTCACGAGCGCGTCCGCAATTGAATTTCGACGAGAATAATGGGCGATCGACAAATTTACAGAGTGGCAGTACATCGTCCTCGTTGCGCAATTATATTTTTATATCATGCGTTTTACATATGCTTTACATTTAATTAATGAATGGCTACGTGCAACGATAACAAGCTACGCGTGGCCTTTTCCCCGTATGCGGTGTACAGCGAAAATGAAAGAAAAAGCGTTCGCGACACTTTGAACTTGATTGAGAAGAAGAACACAGTAGAATATAATTACGTTTTAATCCTATATCACATTCTGAGAAATATTATGTAATTACGACATTGAAATATTGCAAGGTAAAAAGACGCACCTACGTTCAGTTTATCGATCACGATATCGAGATCGATATTTACGTGCAAGAAATTGAAGAGCTTCTCCATATAATTGTAGGAAAAAACTCAGGGGATCAACGAAGAATAATATTCGGAACAGAGAACGATGGGACACAAGTAAAACCGATCGTATCATTATTTTTCTACTGCTGATGAACTCAACAAAAAAAGTAATATAAATAACAAATGTGTTATAGAAAGGAACTAAGATCTACTTGTTTGACCAATAAAATGGAGAAAAAAAACGTATTGCACGTCTGTTCTAAGACGCAAGAAGTGACGCTCGTTGAACCTTCGTGCAAAAATAGATTTTGCGCTCGTACCGGTAATTGAATTTCGTGGAGGATAATGGGCGGCCGACAAATACGCGCGGTCGCGTTAGATCGCTTTCGATGTGTGGCGCACGGGCATTCAGCCAGGCCAGGATGGATCCTTGATGGCTAGATTTAAAAAACCGTCCCCGTTTGCCACCCCCTCCCCTCACGCCGTCCCTACCGTCCCGTTCTCCGCGTATATAGCCGTCGCCATGTGTTACGGGGGTGGCGGCTCTTCGTAATGGTGGTATTTGTGATGGTAGTGGTAGTGGTCCAGTCGGCGGCCTCTATATAACTGATGGTGCTTCTGAGTGTCAGGGCCAGGCTGTCCACTTCTTTGCGTGCACGTGTGTGCGTGCGTGTAAGCGCGTCCAGGCGATTTGCACGTTGGCCGGTTTCTAAGTATAGCTAGCGTACGAATTATATACAGGGTGTCATAGCTTCCTCGCAGTTTTCTTTCATATGTATCTTCTATTCTTGATCCAATTTGAAACGAATTTGCCTTGATAAACATGTTAAGATACTAAAAATTCTTGATTTGTAGACGATTGTAGCAAGCTTTAAGAATGAAAGGAAATAATAAAATTTTATTCTTTTTCTAATTCTGCAAAATTTTGAGATTTTTGTGAGAAAGCATTCAAAATTATATACTATCTATTTTGTTACAAAATCAAAGAACTCAAGAGCTAGATTAAATTTATATTGAATCAAATTTCCGCTAAAAAAATCTTGATATTATTTTTATCTAAAGATTGATTAATTAAAGAAAGCATAAAGAATTAAGTACATCTTATATGCAGCAAGATAAAAATTGAATTTATATCAATAACAGGAAACAATTTCAGATTGGTAATTAAATATTTCGTGAATAATAAAATGTTCTAGAGTATGATTGAGAAAAGCTTTTCTGATAAGATTGCGTGCTTAAGATAAATACCATACGTGAAAGATAAGACGGTGTTTTACATTTTCAAGAAGAATATAATTTCGCTAGAAAAAATAAAAAGTATTTATTTGACACATTAAATATATTCTTTAAAATACATGTCACTCTAAACGTATGCATCGTGTCAATTATATAATCAGTAATAGATAATTAATTGATAATATTCAAAAAGTAATAAGTCTTTTATATCAGAGTTATCTTTTCTTAACAAGAATTTATCCAATATTGTATTATTAAATTTTTATTCTTCGAGAGATCTTCCTCTTGCGGTGGAATTAAATTAACTGTCTTATTTAATAGAGCTTTCTATCTGATATTTCAATCTTCATAATTCCAAGCATATGCCATATCAATTACGAATCGTTAATTACTGTCGAAAGACCGATCAGCTTCCAAGCAAGAACTTAATCCGCTCGGCGAATGTCTCTGTCTTATCGAGATTATTTTCACTCGAAGCTCTGCGGCTCTCGCCGTCGCGTGTTTCCACGGGATTACCCGTTAAGCGGCGCAAGTAGAACTCCGGCTTCATCGGTGATATTGAAAAGAAAGGTGGGAAACGTAGTGGGCGCGCGGTGTAGAGGGCAAAAATAAAAGAAAACGCAGTTGGTGCGACGAGTCAATTAAGGTCGATCGAGAAATCGTCCGCCTCCCGCGCGCGTACACGTGCATAAATGTGTAGACACACACACACACACATTTACGTACATACATACACATATATGTGTGTATGTATGTGTATAGATATACACATGTGTATATGTGTATATATGTATATGTATATGACGGATCTATTGAACAGCGAACGAGAGCGAAGCCGCCAAGCGTGCAAACCGAGCGAGTGCAAAGGGTGGCCAGAAGGCTGCGGGGAAGGAGGATGCAATGTGGGGATATCCGGGGTCAAACGTTAATACACGTACACAGGAACGAGTGAAGGAACGATGCCAGGTCCAATCCTCCTGACAATAATCGGATTGATTAAAAGTCGCCGTCGTCCACCACTATCATCGCCACTGCCACGTACTGGATCGCAGGCAAATGCAGCTCGATTGTGCAGGTGTGCGGATAGATGCAAGCGCGATTTATAGGCGCGTTTTATACACGCGTGTGCGTTATTCACGTCCACGTGCGCTATACGCATGTACGTGAAATCGAAGCGTCCGATAAAAAGCACCATATCGTTGCGTTTGCCGTTAATAAAGTCATAATTGCGCGCGGCCAGATTGTATTTTATGATGCAATATTGATGTGAAAATCCTTGGGCACGATCGTATGTCGAGAAATATGTATATATTCTAATGTAAACTGCGATGGACTCGTCGACTACAAAACTTAACAGCTTACACAACCAAAGAAAGATCTGATGGATCCCACAATGGTGTCGATCACATAGTCAGCTTGAACTTATCTTACTGTTATCTCTTCCTATGTACAAGAGAGAAGAGCTGAGGAAGAGAGAGAGAGAAGGACCGTTCGTTGGTTGTTAGGCAATCTCGTAATTATTCACCGAGAGACGCGACTGTATCAAAGCGGCGCTCTAATTCCATTAGGACTGAGTAAGATAACCGTGATTACGGCGGGTTTGAAAGGTGACCGAGGGACGAAGAGCGAGATGAGTCGCTCGAAGTATATAGGAATACGGCGAAGATAGAAACCCGAGTCAAGGCAACGGATCGATATTTTTGACTACAATTTAGTCTGCATTTAATCAACATTTAATCACCTCATCAACGGGCCAAGTTAATCCAAGCGTGCTACCTACCGTTGCAGTCGCCTTTATATATGCCCTAGCACGACGACGCCATGTTTAAACTCATCATTATTCGGTGCACTAATAGAGCCGCGCCGAGGAAAATTCTCTCGGGATTCTGACTCGTGTAAAAAGGTAAGCGTGCCGCGCTGAATAGCGATCGAAGCCTAAAAGCTTACATGTCCAAATCGGCGCACCCAGAATCAAGGAGAACGTTATGTTTTATAAAGTTTTATTTGCGGTAATTTGTGAAATAGAGAAGAGCACGAATTTAAACGTGTTTTCTTCAAAATAGATATTTTGTAAGGAATATTATTGTATATTTAGATCGCATTCAGCAAATTTTCTAAAATTATCAAAACCGATAAATAGAAATATCCACGTTTTTAAAATATAAATGTCTACAATAGAATGAATGAAAATTATATTGTGTCTCCTCTTAAGGTTACAATTATAATTCTCAAAATATGAATATTTCGTCATCAAATATTACGATCAACTATGCAATTTATAATAGATTGCAACAAAATTCGGAACATTATAGCAATATCTCCTCTTAAATTCTAAATAAAAAACAAGAGTCCTCTAAAAAATAATAGTAAAACTGGTAGACCGTCCTTTTAATTGTGTAAAGAAATTAACGCAGTAAAGTCTGCTTCGCATTTAGCCCTTCCATGGGCCACAGAGTCGTTTCGAAGGTCTAAATTACCAAGGGCCGGTCCTTCGAGTTTAGGACCGACCCTGTCTCAACCGGGGTTCTCCATTCCCTTCGGTCCCTTAACGCCTGGCGCGGCGGCCGACCTCTATAAATTCCCTCAGGATTTTTCTTTTCTCTACTTGCCTTAATTAAAGCTCTCCCTTGCTAGCCGGCACGACTACGCCTATGGACCTGCCCTTTCGCGTCACGATTACTCCAGCTATGACATTTCCACTCCCGACAGATACACGACTCAGACTAAATGTCAGACAGAACGAAAGATGTCGAGCCATTTAAAATTACGTAACGATCTACCATTACACAAAAAATACTTGCGTTGCATTTTATCTTGTCGTTTACAACAAGTACAAATTCAAATTGTGCAAGAAAGTGGATAAAATAGTGGTAGGTTATGTAGAAAATAATTAAATAAATCACATTTAATTTATATGCATAGATTTTATTTAATTATGATTTAAATAAAG